CTTGTGGGGAAGTGGAGGAGGGGGTAGTCCACTGATGAAGGAGTCTGTGGCCAAGTGCAAAGGGCAGTGTGCCTGGTGGTGCTGATCCTGTGTCGTAACACCCACTCATGATATAAAGTAGATAAAGGAAGGAGACTTTTAAGTCAATGGTTTAGAAAAATAATATTGTTTTGGAGAAGTCATTTGTAAGGTGTCATTTGAAAGGAAACATTGAGTAAGGAAATCTGTTATCTTCCAAAGAAGTAGTTTGTTACACTGAATATAAATCTCAGCTTAGTAAAGCGACTCACATCATTTGTGGAAGACATAATCAGAAATATTTTATACAAATATTTTACACATAAAGAATTATCTCACATAAATTTGAATCCTGAAATTTACTTCATCTATTTGACTTTAAAAGTAAAATACTAATAAGAGGTGACAAGAGATAACACACAGGACCTGGGGGCTTGAAGGCAATTTGAGAATTTAGACACTTTGCTAGCAACTTTTAAGACCATAATCACAGTGTCATAAGTTGAATTGCTGTTGATTGTGCAAAGATCACACCAAATACATAGGTGTCTTACCCAAGAAAATGTTTATACTCAGGGTATGTGGAAATTCATGGAAAGTTACCATTTCCTTGTCTTCACTAAATATTAAGACTTCCTTGGAAAAAAATTAATTTCTAGTCGACCCAAGAGAAAGAGAAGTAGGAAATTTTACATACAATTGGTAAATTAAATAATGGAGATCCATATGTTAAAATTAGATTATAAAATGTTGAAAGCCAAAACTTGCTTTTTTAATGATTTTTTTCATCCTTGAGAAAAGTAACTATTTAATAAGGAGCTTTTATGTCTTTCACCTACAAATTTACCATATGAGAAGATATACTAAGAAAAAGGTCTGCAAGGTGAAACTTTTAAGATATTATTCTCTAATGTTATACATAAATACTGCCATGCATTCAATCAGATCTAGCTAGTTAGTCAATCTGTAAATATCCACATCCTTCACAAATCATGTAGCTTTGAGAACAGATCTTTATCATAACCTCTATTTAAAATTTATATTCTATAAAGCTAGAAATTGTTAACCTTCTTCTCCACCAAAATGAAGCTGCAAAAACCATGTCTCACTATGTTGAAATGCACAACGAGCAATCCTCTTTGATGGCCAGGATGTGTTTATGATGTAAGTATGATATGAGGAAAGGAAGAAGAAGAAGAAGAAGAAGAAGAAGAAGAAGAAGAAGAAGAAGAAGAAGAAGAAGAAGAAGAAGAAGAAGAAGAAGCATCTCACATCTATCAAATAGAAAATAGCTAAGTAGTCATAAAATAATTTTGTGAAGTTTGTACATGCCCCTTATTTGATCCAAATGGATCCTTTCTCCCTGCGTCATTCATGGCAGCTTCTGAAGTTCACTTCTCTAAGGCTCAAGTGCATCAGTGAGTCTTTGTTTAGATTTTCTTCGATTTAGCTATGAAAAAGTAAACCACACAAAGTGTCCCTGGATGTATCTTAGGATGAGTAGATACAAGGGAGGGAGAATTCCCTTCTGTGCAAATGTGGCCATGTGTGCAAGCTTGATAAAGCTTTGTGAGAGACATGAGGATTCTAGGGTATACAGGAGGCTTTCTAGAGCCTTTGGAATGATTCAACTTCATGTAAAAACGACTGAGGTTGAAAAATTCCATATTTAGTAGAAAAAATACAATGAAGCCCATTACCCTTTGTGTACATAACCAGATAGTATCAAAACATTTCCTGCTTAATTTTTGAAAGTTGACAAACATTGGTTGCATGTTTTGGCATAAAACTTGCATGGAGAAATGTACCAATAAAAGCTTCAGGTGGAGAGTCTTTGTGGACAACTGGTTGGTGGTGCCATGGATGCTCTCCCTCATGTGTGGTACCAGTGCTGACCTTAGCATATTCTATTAAAATTGAGGAGGGGAGGAATTGTCTCATCAAACCATAAAAGTAAGGGACTTCTATTATCTTGCTGTTGTTCTAGGATGTCCAGAACACCTCCCAACCTTCAGCCTTTCTCTCTTGGTCCTATAGCTCTTGTTTTAACTGGGTATTACCTACTGTGGTGTGAGTATCAGTCCCCACATCAGGATGTAAGTACCTGAAAAAGAACCATGAGTGTGTTTTGTGTTTTGTTTTCATGTAACACATTTGCTATGTCAGTTCCCAGAAAGTGGATGCAAATACCAACAGTAAATTAATGAATCATTTTTCAGTTCATGATCGTTTCTTGAATCATTCATCTCAATAATGAAAGAAAAACTATCTTAATCATAATTTATGGAAAGAGCTCCATGGATATCTTAAAATCAGCCTTTTGAACTGTAACACTGGCTTTGTTTGATAATGTTTTTAGAACATTTGTAATGTTCTCAGAAATATTGTCACCCTGTTTCCTTATAGTTTGCATTATTTCTAATTTTGATGTCTGGAGATTTTTTTGTTTGTTGTTTTGAGGCTACGCAATTGTTTTCATAATGACTTTTAAGAATCTTTCTCACACTTAAGGTTTTCACCAATATGAGCTTGCATTAGCTGGTCGCTGTCCTTCCTTGTGGTGCTGAAGAATAAACTTGGTTGGGAGTGAGGGAATTGCCACAACTATGACAGCAAAGTCGTTTTCCTTTGTTATCACTGCCAGCAAGGACGTCTTTTATTAAGTGTCTAGTACTTTTCATCTGGCAACAGAAAGGACTAGTCTTGTGATTCAAAGGGTCGGGGAGAGAAACAGGTTTAACAGTTCAGTAGTTGGTAAGACTGTATAACAGGGGCAGGAGCAGTACTCAATCCTAGCCTTTCTCTGCCGTATTTATTTGCCTAGAGTAGAGGTCAATGTTGAATGGGACTTCCTACCCCTCACCCAGATAGCTCTCCTGTATATCCAAAGGCCATGTAACGCTGCAACTGCTTTTAAAAATGCCCTCCCTGACCCCTCCATGAGATAAATGAGTTGGACCAAATTAGTTCTATGAATCAACATTCCTGACTGAAGTACATTTTTGTCATAAATGCTTTGTGTGTGTGTTCAGATTAGAGAATTGTAGGCACCAGTTTCCATCTGTTCGGTAGTTTAGAAGGAATGCCTTGAACTCTTTCCCTATTCTTACCTCCATAATTGTTGAACATGTTGTCATAGGTAAAATGTGCTTGCTGTACCTCAAATGGACAGGACTTTCAGAAGAAAGAATACACCTAGAAAGGATCATATAGCCTCACTTATGACACCTTTGTTTTGGAGGAAGTAGAATACAAAAGTAGCTTTAGGTTCTATTTTAAAGACTGACATGGGGTTATTTTGCTTTAATAATCCTTGGAATTGTTTGTCAAGGACTGAGGCCCTGTCATCCTTGTTCAAAATTATTATAAAAAAGAAAAGACTCTCCAGAGTAAATTTTCATTTTTTGCATGTGTTTAAATTGACTTATTTTGCTAGGTTAATACTTTTTTTTCACTCTCTCAGCTAGATAGAATTTTAACCTCTGGTATTATTAATAGTTAAGGCATGAGGCCTCTTGTGTTGTGGTGTAAATTCCAAATGACTGACAGTGATTAAACAGGAAATGAAATCTGAATGGCTGTATCTCAAAATCTACTTAAAGCTTTGACAGGTAACTGTCTGCAGCAATATTTCAGTTTGAACATGTACAGACTAAGAAACTGTTGCTTACTGTAACTGAGGTTTCCTTTTCTTGTAACTCAAAAAGGAAAACAGCAGTTCCCCTTTGATCTCTAAAAGCGTGGTGTAGATTCTAAACATAGCGGTTCACATATAGTCACAATTAATTATGCCTGACTTTGGGCATCATGTATGTCTCAATGCCAGTTATAATTCCCAGGGTGTCTAAAGATACTATCATAACATTTAGAACAGAACGCCTGACTATAATTAAGAACAAGGAAGAGAAGGCATAGAGAATTAATCGGGGTTGCAGCTCCTCTTGGCGCATTGACTGCAAAGCCCAGTGATGTCCTGAATTGTGTCTCAGCAGTGATCTCAGGCCTCCCTTCAACCCCAAGGCTCTTCCTTTCTAGCATTTGTTATTACTTAGCTATTTTACTTGGCAGAGATCCCTTCTATCTCATCTTCTAATGCACTGGCAAGATTCCTATTGACAATAGCTTCAAGCCTAGTACTGCTAGGGTAAGCTGCATAGCCGAACTTTCTAGCCTCTGCATCCTTATGAATAATGCATCTGCTTTCCTGTAACTACACGAACCTTCAGACTCTCTTTGTTAGTCAGGGTAGAAGAGTTGGGAGATAAGCAGTAGTGGAAATAGTCGGAGGCAGTTATTATCACTGATTAGCACCCGGCCCCCATGCTATGTGCATTCATCACAGGCTTCCATGCTATCAGTATGCTTGTGATGTTTATTGTATACATAAACAAGGTATGTAAAAAGGATGCCTACTGACTAACTGAATGGCTATCTCTACAAGGACAGCCTGATAATGTTAGTTAATCTAACTGCCATAACTGTACCCAAATTACTTTGCAGTTTAAAAACTTCTCTTTCCCAAAACAAAACAAAAAACCTTTCCTTTAGTTTGTGAGGAAGATACTAAATTTGGGGGTAGCCTTGAACTTGAAATAGTCCCCTTGCCTCAGCTTCTGACATTCTATGAATTACAGATAGGACATCACCATACCTGGTTCAGAATTTCTGTAAAGTTAGTATGTTGCATTAACAAATCAAGAAGTGGGACCAAATAGACTTCGACAGTGTATATTGGCACCACCATTCTATAAATATTTTGCCAAACAAATAACAAAATGTAATGATGTTTTATTTTATTTAAATGTGGCCACTGTGATCAGTCTTTACTCTTTTCTTTTTTTCCAATCATACTTTTAGATTTTGATATCATAATATAACCACATTATTTCCCACTTCCATCTCATTCCCCCCAAAACCTCCCATGGACCCTGTCTTGTTCTTTTACAGGGCCAATCCCGAAAACATACAAATACAAGTAATAGTATATGGACAAGTCAGGTTATATTTTTATATTTAGGAACATATACACAGGTAACTATTAGGTTTTAAAATAATCAAGCTGTCATCATATTGCTACCATGGGCAAGTCTGTTTTGGTGGGTGGTTACTGGGAATGGAAGCAGCTGGATCACGTTGTTCTGTCTGTAATCGTCCAGTTCCTCTGACAGCCTTTTGTTGAGCCATGATCCTGTCTGGAATTGAATCTTTGCTTTCTTCTCCTATCACTAGTCAAAACAAAACATTATCAGAAGAAAACATTTTCCTAACTGGCTCTTAAGTGAAGGGAATTCTCAGATGTTCAAACATGCATATACAATAAACAGCATTTCCTGACAAGCTCATTAAGAAAAAGAAAATCAGTGTCAGCTACACAAAGTAGAATCCATTGTAAGCCTCATAAGCCTCTGCCTGTCACTCCCAACTTCCCAGTGTGCCAGGCTAAGATTAAGAAAGCTATGACTTTCGTCAGGATGGAATCACCCTGAGAAGCAGTTTATTTTCTTCCACCTTCCCGTAGTCTTGCAGAGAGCTGGACTCTAGTGGGCTCTTGTTAAAATAATCATTGAGTGAATAGATGAGTGAATGAATGAACAATTGAATACTTTCTAAAAGTAGTGAGGACAGCATTAACCTAGAAAGTATCCGAGAAAGTGCATTTAAGAAAAAAAATCTGTGGCCCCACAGGCGTTAACTGAAGGCCAAGTTCCTTTTCAGTTTAATCTGAGAAATTTCTAACTTAGCATATTTGTTTAGTGTGTTCATATACTAATTCAATTTTTTGGAGAAAACTGAGAGTTCTCAGTTTATGGCTCATCTTGCTGATATTAGAAAAACAGGCAAGGGAGGAGCCTAACACTTTTCAGTGTAGAATATTTTGGTTCATGTACTTACTGGCAATATCATTTAAATGGCTTGCTTTTGTCATGATCAGAATAAGCCACATAGGACAATTAAGTAGATGCCTAGTGGTAGGTATAAAGTCCTTATGTTCGGAATGGGCACTGCACTGCACAGAGAAGCTAATCTGATGAGGGCAGCAGTTACACATATACAAGCATGCACGCTCTTACCATTGAGTTTGTTCTTGTGCCCTCCCATCCTTACTTAAATCTTATGTAAGCCCAACTCAAAATTTGACTCAGCAACAACACACATCTTGTATAATTAATGGCTGTTTTCTGAAGGCGTTCTTGCAGGGGTTCATTTCATATGGTGTAAAGTATTTGTTCAGTAGGGGATAGATCTCTGAAGTAGCAATAGGCCCGGAGCTCAGACTCATGGCTCCCTAACTACGTGATCTTTGTATCCTCTCAAGACCTTGTTGTTCCCATCTATAAAGTGGGAATGATAACACTTATTCTACAGACTGGCTGAGATAATTTCAAGGATTGCTGTATATATTCTATTTAGTATAGTACCTGACTTACTTGTTTTCAGTTGGCTTCCTCCAAGGTGAAACTTGTCATACTTTGAATTATGCTGCCTCTCTCCTTTTACATAGGAGGAAAAGAACTTAATTAATATAATAAATATTCCTCTAACTTCCTGTAGCCATATCTACACAGCCCAGAACAATGCTAAACATGCCAAACGTGGAACATTCAGTCAATGCAGATTTATCTCAGTGCTTTGGAAATGGTAGCTATTTTTATTGCATGTAATGTATGACCTTAAAATTTGAAATTTGCTTTTGGAAATCAGGTTATCCTGAGGTTTCCCATTTTTTTCTCCCTGTTGACTTACAAAAATAAAATCATTTTAAGTGCCAAACTTCCAGTTTCTTAATTAGTTGCTTAATGTTGGCTAAATTACAGAAATGCCATTTCAGACTGAGTTGGAAAACTCAAGGATCTAGCCCTGATTTTCTGGTATTTTTGTTATCATTCAGCACATTTGTTTATTTTTCTTTAGCTGTTGTTTATTGTAAAAATCATGTTTGAGGATGCCTACTTCTACCCATGAGATGACTACAGTTGTCCTGTGCTTTTATAAAGTATTCCAATAGCTCTTTTGTATGTTCTTTTGTTTCACTAAATGTCTAGAACCCTTGAAAACCTGGGTGGTTACTAACATTTTCCTGTTTCTTCTTGGTGATCAGGGTATGAATGAATAACAGTAGCTTAACTGTCATAGACTCTGGTGGTTCCCAACATCAGCTTTTGCCATTGAATCTTTGTTGGTGATAAAGGAAAATGGTAGGGTACAGTTTTACATAGACACCATCTAGATGCCTTTAGTACCAGGTGGTACATATCATCTGACACTTAGAAAGTCACAGATGAGATGTAAGTGAGCTAAGTATAGGAACTTAACTGCCCTGAGGAAATTTAACCTCGAGACAGGTAGGTGACTTGCCTGACCACTAGTGAGTAACTCAAAACAAAGTTGCATGGAAGGCTTTGAGAAATGCTTTGAAAGATTGTGTGTTACTTTAGAAGCCCATCTAGACTCATTTTGAACCACTTAATTTAAACTCTCCCTTTCTTATGGGTGCTATTTGGAGAAAAAAAAAGAAGAAATCCCATGGTTGGGGCTCGCTGCTAGCTTACATTGCCATGAATGCCTCTTGCTGTCAGTGATATGGTTTAGTTGAATGCAGATGCTTTAGAAGTGCATGTAGAGCATCACACATAGTTAATAATTTATGCAACATCTGTGAGCACAACTGGGTAGCAATCACAGCTGGAGAGAGGAACCTGTGGCCTGTAGTGTTTTTCCCAACTGGCCATTAGAAAAAGAACGTTTGAGATGGGATGACTGTGAAATTCCACTGCCTTCACAGGAGCTTGACATCCAATATGTTTGGTTTTGTTAATAGTGCGAACTTAATGTTTTTCTCTATTCCCTTTGTTCATCAATATTTGAGTTTCATTTTGGAACATTTCTTCTCAATAAATATATGGTACTGGGGGTGAAGTTCCAGAAAAAAAAACTCTTAATACTGTGGTAATTAATGGTTTGTTATATAGTTCATTGCCATTAGAAAATGTTTGAAGTAATGTGAATCTTTTGTTTTTGATATAATTTTAAAATCAGGGAGAAGGAAGGTGGCAGAGGTATAATTGAGGGGATAGTGTGGAGGGAGGAGAGTGGCTTGTTAGAACTTGCTCAATGTAGAGTTGATAGGATGTTTTGTTTCTCTGATATAAGTCTATGAGCTTTAGTAATCAAAGTGCTGGATTTTCTTTTATATAGTTATGGGAAAAATGCCATGAGAATAATGTTTTAAAATGTTCTGGTATTTCATTTCTGCTATTTGAATGAATAGACATTAATCCAATTATTTGGATTTTATCACTAACATATCTTGCATTTGCTTTATGAAATGTACACTCACTGATCTATCCAATAACTTTTTTATATTTTGCAAATCATACATAGGACATTTTTATCCCAAATACTATGGGTTACATCAGAAAAGATAATATATTTTTCTTAAATATACTGTCATATCTGGGGTTTTCTGCCCATCATACTTCAGAATAAGTCAGTCATCAGATGTGTCTCTTCCCTGCCCTTTTGCCTCCTTCCCTATGCAATCTGGCCAGTCTTCAAGTTAAAACAAGATGTAGCCTGGTCCATTCCTCAGATACAGATAATTCTGAGTAAACCTGGTACGTTTTTGACCTACTGTGTGGTGACTGTTCTGAGGTGACAATCTTCTTCCCTGAAGTCACATTCGTTTGGAGTACTTTCCCTCCCACGAGGACCTTGAGTACTGGTGTTCCCATCAATTAGCAATTTCTAAGCTCCAGCCTGTTCCCAGGGACAGTTCTTGGCTTCTATAGCTTACACCTTCTGTACCCCCACAGTTTATAAAATACTGTTGAAGGGCAGGGTCTACGTAGGAATTCCAGTCTCTTAGTTTTTTAAAAAGAAAGTTGTGCTCACATGGTGTCATGTGGGCATTCCATAGCAATCTTTGATATAGAAGCAATTCTTGTGAAGGGTCAAACAGATTTATTTTTTAAAAACTGGCACTGAATTGTGCTACTGTGATGGAACTTGGTAGGCTTAGACCTAAAGTCTGACTCTGAGATTGATCTCCATGAGACTGTAGGTAGGCAATTTTTATGCCTGAGAGCTTATTTTTCTTGAAAAAAAAAAATGAAATTGATGACCAAGCCCCAGCTTCCGACAGTGAAACATTTAAATCTAACTAGGATTGAGATTACAGAGGCACTTTGTAATAAATCTCTGTCCTTCCATTCCAAATAACTTCTGAAACTAAAGAGAAGTCATTCTTAAGCAGGCCTCACTTTAGCAATCTTAGATTGCGTATTAGAGAAGGCCTTGAGGTCAAATCATAAGGTATTTTATCTCATGACTTTCAAATTCCTACTTCTTCAAATAATAAAAATTGAAAGAACAAAGGGAAAATTTCTACCCCCTTGGATGGAGGAGCTGCAACAGAGGGCGAAGCTGGCATTTCCTATTAAATGGATATTTCAGCTTCTATGCCCATTATAATGCTGTGACCTTCCAAGAGCAACGCTGCCAGTTGGGTGACTCACACAGAATGCACAATCAGTTCTGGAAACTACATATGTATTTTAGTTCCCCTCCCCGTTGGTGCAACTTGGATCAGCAACAAGGAGAGAGAACCATGGAGGTTTTAACTGAACTATAAGGTATAAGATAGTATTTTTTTTTGTCCCTTGTCTTTCATCTGTAGAAATACAGATTATTTTAAATGGTAAAGCACAAGGTAATTTCTTTCCCATGCTTCCTTTATTACAGATACTCTGCACTCATTTCTTACATGCACAGGTTTGTGTGAAGTTTGATGGTCCTCTGATAGCTGGTTTTGAGTAACTCTTGACTCCCTTCATATACTTCTATTTTAAGCAAAGATCAAATGAACACACATTTCCATAGTGTTTACTATAAATAAAATGCTGTGCTATATGATAGCTGAACTTGTGGGTTGGTTTAGCAGTCGTTTTGTAGAGCAAGTCAAAAAGCAGCAGAACTTCGTATTATTTTTTATTTTTGATATTTTTGATGCTGTTCTGGAACTCACTAAATAGATTAGGCTGGCCTTAAACTCACTGAGATCTACCTGTCTCTGCCTCTCGAGTTTTGGGATTAAAGGAGTGCAGCACCGTACCTGGATGGCTTGTTTTTGTTTTTTGAGACAGGGTCTTACTATGTGGCCATTATGTAGTACAGTGTTTTGACAGGCACGAGCATGTGTGTGTGTGTGTGTGTGTGTGGTGTATATGCCATCTCCCTGGAGCTGGAGTTAAGGCTGTTGTGGATGTTGGGAACTGAATTTGGATCCTCATCAAGAGCAGTATGTCTCTTAACTGCTGAATTATCTCTCCAGCCCCCTATATCAACCTAACTGTAAGCAAATTATTAGTGCCTGTGTATAAGTCAAATTCAATTACTTCCATGTTTGAGAATTTGCCAATCTTGAATAAGATGACGTTAGTTACCAGAGGTAACGTTTCCTTACTTTTAACAAAAATTTCTTCAACTACACTAATACATATCCTGAATTACTTTATTGTGTAAGATTGCACAAACATATGTACTTAAAAGCCAAGCTGCCTCTTAATGTTTTTGCTACATTTGCCCTAAGACTCAAGAGGACAGACCAGATAGAAAATCTCTTATTAGCTAAGCCTCCTCATGCCTGCAACTTCAAAGAAGTTAGCAGCAAAACCAAAGTGAGAGGTTTATGATTACAGTGACTAAGCCAATGTATATAAACCACCAGCCAAAAAGACTCTGGGGATTCATATAGAGAAATTTCCTTTAGGTTTTCCTTCTATCCCATCCCTTCCATTTAACACTACTTTATTTTACTCACCCAGATAAAGCTCTGTAGGGAGTACTTGTCTCTTTGAGAAATTTTCCCCCATATGTCCCTTCTTAAGAGAGTTCTGCTTCTCCATCCATTTATTGAACAAATATCTTTAAGTGCTTGTATGCATCATGTATGTTCTAGGTGCTAGGAAAATAGTGGAAACACATAGCATTACTTGTTATATAACTTACATTCTGGAGATGGGTGTATTTCATTAAAACAAACAAACTAGAGGAATTACAACAAAGACAAGCAAAATAGCTGCTGCCTTCTTTTGCTCGTATTTCTAGAATGCTCTAAATAGGGAAATGAAATGGAATTAAATAGTGAGACATAATATTTCAGTAATACAAAATGGTATAGAATAAACCTTTTCTCATAGAAAGTATTTTAAACTGATTGTCTCAATGCTCTATTGGTTCCTATTATCGTTCATTGTACTTTTGAAGTCCTAAGCATGAAGTATAAATTATGAGACATTTAATGCTGCAAATCCACCCTTCCCATGATACCTTGTAGCTAAATCCTCAGCTTCTGCATCTGCATTTATTAGAAGAAAGGCAACCTATATATTAAAAGTTTTATTCCTTCAGTTCACCAGCAATCTGAGGCATAGGTAACATGATGGTCCATTAAAACTAAACACTAGAGAAGTTGAAAATGTGATGAGTTTTTCACTGAATAGAAAGTCACGTTTGATAAATCGAACCAATAAAGCAGATGACTCAATTGCACTCATATTTTGCAGTTATTACTTGCACTGGGTTCCAAAACATGTTCATTATAATGTCAAAAGAAAGTGACATAAAATTAAAATAAGGTGCACATTAAAGAAATTATATGTAGATAAAATGATAATTATTCATGTTTCAATGATGTGTGTAGTTTGAACTATCTGACTGCACTACATAAATATGTACAACAACTATCATATAACTAAAAGAACTATCCAAATGACCTCACATTCCAGGTTATCTACTTGAATTTCACATAAAAGACAGATGTGCCAGAGAAAAATTGATCATCATATTTCAAATTGAGCACAAATAAGTACAGGTAGTCAATATGAATATGTGGCATCTCATAAAAATAGTTTTAAATATTAAGTAAAATTCTTTAGAGCAAACCGTGGTGTCTTGATTTCTCCTCCAAGTGAGCACTGTGTCCCTGCCCCAGAGAGGAATCACTTTCTATCAGATTCGCCCTCATATGTTCTGTGAGTGGTTGTGAAACAGCATGTGGATTTGGTTTGCTTTATCAGGGAACTTTTCATTGGGGAAAGAGAATTCCTGGAAAAAGAACTAATTATGAATTTGTCCAGCTCTTCTATTAACTTTGCTAGGATCTATGATGGCTGGTATCAGTAGAATAGGCTCAGTTCACTGAAGATATATTTTAGGACAATTAGAAAAATTTATGAGGAAGTATGTGGTCTGGATATTAAAGACCAGAAAAAATGGAAGGGAATACATGGGACAGTTTAGACACAGAGATACTAAATGCCTGCCAGCTTATTTGAGGAAGTAAAGTCTATGAAGTTCAATCTCAAACAGAAATAAAAGTGAAACCAAATATAGGTGTTGAGTGGATCACAATCCTACTTTTAAGCAGTTATTGATCATTTTTATCTTCAAGGAAATTATCTTATTTAGCCCTGAGTGCATGATACAGCTGAATAACAACACGTGACTGAAAAACCTGTCTAAGAAATGATAACATCAAAAAGTCTGATTTGAAGCCATTTGAAATATGGTGGCACATTCTTATAATCCCTGATGTTGAGAAGCTGGGGCAGGAGAATTTCTGCAGATTTGGAGTCACATTGGGATATATGACAAATTCTAGGTGAGCCTGACCTACACAAAGAAAATGTCACAAAAGGATAAATAAATAACAAAATTCCATGATTTGGTGAAGTAGGAGAAGCTCCATGTAGGCTGAGGGGTGTTTTAGTCTGGAAAGTACTTTTGGGAATTTGTGTTCTGATAAAACAGCCAGTTTGTGAAGGTTTACTTGGCTCCAGTGCACTCCACTTATACATATAATTATAATTATCTCAAAATGGTATTTCTCTTGTCACGAAGTAAATTATCTTTCTTTTTTAAAATATAAAATTAGAAGAAAGGGTAAACTTTTTTCAACTGGAAAAATGAAATAAGTTTGTGTTACATGGTCAAAAACATTTGTCAACCCCTTTCATCTGTTGAAGCTAATCTAATTACTTCTGATAATGAATTAAATTAAATTAATGCAGAAATAAATAGCCTAACCTGTGGTGAATTCACAGCAATATTTAATGTTTGATGATTTTTTTCTTTTAATTGTTGGTCTTTGTTTGGTTTTAGTTGTGGCAACTGAACTGGGGTACTGGCTAGGTAAGCACATTCCCACTCAACTACAAATCCAGCCCTAAGCATTTGCATTGATAATGTAGTGGGATATTCTCTTCATTGATGCTGGCTTAGGAGGAAACTAGAATCTTTGAAAAGTGGATCTGAAATGCATGCACGCTTAACTTGGTTCTGCCAAATTCGTTCTGCATTCTGTGACTCCTCTTTAACCTGGCTTAGCTGCTAGCACTGCCTCCCTTCCTTGAAGTGGCGGGTGAGTGGTGGCAGCGGATTTTTTTTATCCCTCTCCATTAAGGTTTATTAGTACCGCTCCTAGTCTGGGCTGGCACCATGACTACTTAACAACTAAGAATAATGATAATAGCTTGTGCAACTCCCTTAACAGGAGTGGTAGCTTGAGCTTCCTGTGTCTAGGGGATAGACAGCTCTCATCAACAGCTACCATGCTATGAGCAACTCAAGCCACGTGGAGAAGTCCCATGCTGCTATGTATTTCGACACCCTATGGTGCTCCCAGCTGATGCCTGGTTTCCTGTGTGAGCCACTTTGAATGCTTCAGCCTCACTGTGTCTTGAGCTGACTGCAGCCCCAATTGGTGTCAAACAGAGCAGAAGAACCACCCAGATGAACCCAGTCAGCCTGCAGCCTCATGGTGGTGGCTCTAAAGCTATTTCAAGACAGTTGTCTTCACAGCAGTACATAATTGAAATATCTTCCCCAGAAGAGGCCTGGAACTGAGGCTGTGGAAGAGTAACTCCTTCCATTTAAACTATAAATAGATAATTTTTGAATTATTATGTCTAATCCTTATAACTAGTTTTTGAAAGTCATTTGGCAAAACTTAAAAAGACTTTTGTTTTAGAAACTGGCCATCTTTAAGTTTTCTTACTTTAACTTACATATTTTTTATGGTTGTATATTCTAGTTTCCTTCTCCCATTGAACTGATATACAAAAAATACATAATAGATATTGTATTTTTAGTGGAGTATTTTTTTTCATTAGAAGTAGCATGAGTCTAGCCTTTCTCAAAATCCCAACCCTATCATTTAATAGTTAGTGCCTGGCTGCATTACCTGTGTTACCTGTCTCTTTATTTTCAAGGTAAATGGACATTAAAGGACGAGAAAACCTCAGACATAATGCATATTATGATCTTGAGAGTTCCTGGCACAAAGGTGTGGAGCTCAATAAACATAGTTTTTATTGTTATAAAGAAGGGGGTAATTACAGGGTTTTAAAAAGCAGTGAGGTTTTGTTTCATTTCATGTTTCTAAGAGTCTGGGAATGGGTGTTCCTGGGTCTCATTAAGGTGGCCTTTACAGGGTTAATGACAGTATGCCCTTGAAGCCCTCCCTATAAACACATATGTTGCATCCTAAGAAAGTTCCGATCATAGCCCCATGTTCACTGACTTCCTCAGATTTTTATTGTTACTAAGAATTTGATGGAAGGATCAAGGTAGCTCCTTGACCCTGGGGAAGAAGTAATGGGGAATTCTTTTTATTCTTCACTTCTAAACTCCTTTTCCTAATTCCATTCACTTTCTAATTTAATAGGAAGCTGAATTTCTGAAAGCTAGTCTTGGGAACAAGGAACCACAAAGTTCTCAGATCTTCATCCCCAGAGGAAATACACATCCTGAAGTATGAGTTGTGCAATCAGACCCAAAGGGTAGCTATGACAGTCCTAGGATTCTGTCTCTGGTGCTTTGTGCTAGCCTGTGGGTAACACGACCCTTTCTTTCTAAGTGACAAGTTTTTAATAGGACAACTAGAGAATCTTTGTCACCTTTGCTGTGATTTAGGTTAATATGACAGCCAGAGAATATGAGCCAACAACTTTTTCTGTGACTGTGGTAAGGCAGGTAATTGCCATTGGTGCAGGTGATACAACACAGCACCTTTACAGAGGCTAGATCCTTCAACACCTGTCAGACTGGAAGCTACCTGACTCCATTCAGTCTTTGAAATTGAAATGACCTTGCCTATGGATAAGCTCCAGTTCAGTATGTGAATGTAAAGTTTGAAAATGGCAAGTATAACTTCAGGGTAATCCTGACCTTGCCTATGGATAAGCTCCAGTTCAGTATGTGAATGTAAAGTTTGAAAACGGCAAGTATAACTTCAGGGTAATCCTTAAAGGAATTATTATAATTGAAAATATCAATTCACTATTTGTGTTTGAATACTTACAGGGATATTGATGTTTAAAATCTTAAGTTGTAAGTGCTTTAGTAGGGATTTCTTACACTATAAAATTTCATGTCCATCACTAGAATCTTTGTTAAGAAAACTCATTTCTTTAAAATCAAGTAGATTAAGCCAGAAAACAGTCATACAAACAATTTCAAAATATTGGTCACTGGTTGTGTAGAGGTGAGCTGACAATGACTCATTTTGCCTGCGAGCTTGTCATAATCTTAGTTACAATTATGCAAATTTGGTCATGCTCTTGTTGTTAGCGATGGGACTGAAAACACAGTTTAAGATACTAATATCCTTTGAATCATTCATAATTATTGAGTAATTCCATCTGGAAGGAAATGATAACATTCTTACCTCCTGGCATTTGAAAAGGCTCAAATGTATTTCAAAGCAGTAGAATTGTGCCGTACAAAATAAAGTGTGTTTAGTGAAGATTTTCTTAAGACTTGAGCATTACCTTTCACTGCCCTGGGACTCCTTGTGATGGTCCTGTAGTAGAGATTTAGTGGACTTTAAAGACTCCTATTGACATAGGTAAATAGAATGGTTCCTTAGAAACCGTTTGGATGTCCAGGCTCAGTGAAGTATGGTTTAAACGATTGGGTGCACAGAGCATGCACTGACACACCACAGAATGTCCCCTGGAGCCCGTGCTCTCTCTGATGCACAGTGAGTGTCTTCCATTTCATCAAGTTTTCAGGGACTGTGCCAGAAGAAAAAATGAAAGAAAAAATCAGCATGGAAGTTACTTGTAAATTAAACCTACTGAAACCTATCCCACGAGGCACACTCTTATAGAAAAATCTTAATACTTTCAGTTCGATTATAGCCGAGGACATGTGGTGTGTATTACAGTGTCCAGGGAATTCAAGCCTCCTCTGCAGTGTGGAGGCAGCATGAAAAGCTAATTTGAAAATGAAGCGGTAGTCCTTGCTTTTCTTATACTGTTTCTCTTACATTGACGTTGTTATTCTGGTCCTCTCTGGATAGGATAAGGCAATTGTAAATGTAAAGGACAGAGAGACACAGGCTTTTTCCCTTCCCCCACACCCCACCCTGTCCCAGCATGCACTCAGCATTTTGCACTGAGCTTTACAAAGTCTTAAACCTCACAGAAGGGGGGGGTGAACGCAGAGCTGTCCATGGTTAGAAAACACTGTTCTAACTGCTGGTTGAAAATCAGGCAATAAGAGTCCTGTTAGTGAACAAAACTTATTAGAGCACTGGCTAGGGAAGGAATGCTATCTCTCAGCAGCAGGCAGGAAGAAATCGCTGTTGAAAAGCTTACTACCTCTCTGGGGAGGAGTCAGATAGCAGACTTTGCCAAGCCTCAGGTCTAACCCAGAAGATCCCACCTCCACCCCCCACCGCTCCCCCATCCCAGCGTTGTTAGATTGCTAGCATCGATCTGGCTTTTTTCTGACCACCACAGTAGGTGAAGGAAAGCAAGATTGAAAGCAAGGTACAGCAGCGTAGGGTGGGAAACTGGGACCAGCTTTAGTTAGGGGGAAACAGAAAGAAAAGGGGCAGGGGCCAGGGAGACGAAGTTTAACTGCTGCCTGGCTGCTTCTCTGATGGCCTTTATTCCTTCTAATTGGATAAAATAGGAAGTCACTGGCAGTCCTGTGTTGCTGGGTGTACTGTACTCATTACAGAGCAGCCAGCAGTAGAGTGGGGACAGAGAGAGAGAGAGAGAGAGAGAGAGAGAGAGAGAGAGAGAGAGAGAGAGAGAGAGAGAGAGAGAGAGAGAGAGAGAGAGAGAGAAGATGAAATAGAGGAGAGAGTGTGTGAGAATACATGCTTAGGATGAGGAGGGAGGAAGAGAAAGAAGCCATGAAGAAGGAAGACTGCAGAAGTGACTGAGCGCACGAAGGACAAAGAGGAGTGGTTGGGGGTGGGGGTGGAGGCAGGGCGGGGATGGGAGTTACCGCCCCTCCTGGCTCCTGCTGCTCTCGCATCCTTGTGCAATGGTACTGTTTGCAGTGATGCTCAGAGGGCAGGCACCTGCTGCTCTGTAATGATTCAGCCTCTTTCAGTCGCTGCGTTAACAGGACAGGATGCTGTTGCTACTGTCGCTGCTGCCTCTCCTGCCACCGCCGCTGCTGCCGCCGCCGCCGCCGCCTCTGGTCTTGCTTTTGCTTTTACTTCTCCTGCATGACAGTTGTTTTCTTCCTCTAAGCAGACACCAGCTTCAGACGCTTGAGGTGAGAAACATGCCTTTCAGTTTGGGATACTGGTTTACTTAATGAGCCAGGCATCGGCTTGCTTCCTATTTTGGTCCTCTGCTTTCTTGACCACCCGGGATGGTTTAGAGAAGCGTTTGAAAGAACTGGAAAAGTGTCCCAGACACATCAGCTCAAGATATTTTGGTACACTTCTATTTCGTAGTTGATAGAAGCCCTTTCGTTTTCTTTTTTCTTTTTCTTTTCTTTTCCTTGCTTCCTCCTGAGCTCTCTTACTTTTGATAATGGCCTTGGACTTGGATGCCTTATCGATTTCCCCCTCCAAGATGCTGTATCATTTGGTTGGGGGGGGCTCTGCATGGTAATGCACTGTGAGACAGGCCAGGCCTTCTGGAGGTGAGCCGATGGAGATTTATTCCCCAGACATGTCTGAGGTAGCTGGCGGGAGGTCCTCCAGCCCCTCCACTCAGCTGAGTGCAGACCCATCTCTGGATGGGCTTCCGGATACGGAGCACATGCCAGACACCCACACTGAAGACGGGAGAAGCTCTGGACTCCTGGGCCTGGCAGTGCCCTGCTGTGTGTGCCTGGAAGCAGAGCGCCTGAGAGGGTGCCTCAACTCAGAGAAGATCTGCATTGTCCCCATTCTGGCTTGCCTAGTCAGCCTCTGCCTCTGCATTGCTGGCCTAAAGTGGGTGTTCGTGGACAAGATATTTGAATATGACTCTCCTACTCACCTTGACCCTGGGGGGTTAGGCCAGGACCCTGTTATTTCTCTGGATCCAACTGCTGCCTCAGCTGTTTTGGTGTCATCTGAGGCCAACGCTTCACCTGTGTCTAGGGCTCTATCTGAGCCTGAGGTTCATGTTACAGTGCAAGCTGACAATGTTGCTGTGGCCTCTGAACCTTCAGCAGGACCAACCCGGAAGAATCGCCTGTCTGCTTTTCCTCCCTTACTCTCTACCGCACCACCCTTCCCTTCTCCAGCTCGGACCCCTGAGGTGAGAACACCCAAGTCAGCAACCCAGCCACAAACAACAGAAACTAATCTCCAAACTGCTCCTAAACTTTGTAAGTAGAGAGAGAGAGAGAGAGAGAGAGAGAGAGAGAGAGAGAGAGAGAGAGAGAGAGAGAGGATGATGATGATGATGATGATGATGATGACGACGATGATGATGATGGCGGCCGTGGTAGTGGTGGGGATAACAGAAAGGGTGGGCGGAAGCTTCCAAAGATGTTCTCCAGAGGGCTAGCTATTTCCTTTGCTCTTGCATTTCAACTGGGAGGTTTTGTTTGATGAATCATGTAATGGGGTGGAGTAGGGGGGAAAGTCATATAGACCCCTAGGATGAATCAATTTGTTTTTTTTTTTAAATAACAGCAGTGTGTAGCTAGATTAAGTTGTCAATCAAAAACTACAAGAATCTTCATTCGTGCTTTGGATTTAAGCTAAATTCAATTTATTTGGAATTGTTTTAGAAGTTAATGCCTGACCGTCCTTCATATTTTAATAGGCACATAACTTCTATATGCCAGTAATTGTTATTTGATACCCCCTCCCCCCCAGGTCTTCTCCTGCCTCCTCATCACACCTCTGTACTTCTGAATTCTCATTGTTTGGTCCTGATACTGCAGCAAGTCTTAAGACACTGTGCTCTGTCCCCTGTCCTCAAACGCTTGCTGTACTGCATGGGTCATACTTTTGGTTCCTGAACACTTAGTACAGGCAGTTTTATTTTGTTCAAGGCAGTCTGCAATTCTCCACAAAGGGATTTTCCTGAATTAGTTCTGTAATCAACCATTGAAATAGATTCCTTGCCAGTCATTAACAACTATGGGGAACATTGACAAAGGTGCCTCTTTGAATTATTATTATTGTTAAGACATGTGCTATTTAACCCATTCTCTTGCTGAAACCTGGTTTAATAACCTGTGACAGAAGAGACTCCATGCTATTAGAACAATACAGAACGAAACACTGGTATGTGCAGAGGTCATTGCCTTAGCTTTATGATAGAAAGTTGACAGCTATGAAGTCATGACTCGTCAGATTGTTCCAAATGTCAGGATGGAGCTTTTTTTGGTTACATTTGAAGAAATGTTTTTAGTGTTTTTGTTTCTGTCTTCTACCACTCTTTGCTTTTAACAATTGATGAGCTACTTGGTAGAAGAAAAGGAGGAGGTGAGAGAATTTGATTCTCAACGATGTGTGTAATATATCGACTGTTTAAAAAAAAAGCTGTAAGTAGGGACTGTGATGAAACACCCCTTCAGTTTTCTCTCTCGATTCTAAGGAAGAAGAATAAGACCTCCCGAAGACATTTGTGTTAAGAATATAGTTGTTCCCTGCGCTAGAGAAACTCAGGAAAAGAACAAAACTTGACATATGCTTGGGATTCAAGATCTTTCGATGTGTTCCGGCTTCCGTGCAAAGGCTTCACACGGATGCCTGCTTTTCCAGGTGTAATTAGGAGAGCCTTCTGTAGGCAGCCGCTGCTTTGCGTCTTTCTCAAATCCCCAAAGTATTGTTAAAGATCTGACAGGCATCTCTGCCTTTGCTGCCTCTTCCCACCTGGCAAAGTGACCGGGAAATAATACCCAGATGAAATGGCAGGCTATAAAAAGCAAGTGCAGATCCTGGCGAGAGAGGCAGAATGCGCTAAGCAGACAAGGTTACTTCTTTGTCTTTATTGTTTTCAACTGAAAGCTTCAGTTAAAATGTGCTGGCATAGGTTGAGTTGTCCAGAAAAATTAAGGTAGCTCTTTGAAAAACTCTTCAGCCACATTAACTTCGTCATGTGATGAACAGAGAAAAACAGACAGCACACATCCCTGGTCTAGGAAAAGTACTTGGGAACTTTTGAGAAATGGGTTTTGAAGGGAAATTTTACTAAATGTTTTCATAGACTATGTATTCCTCTCCTCGCTCTCTGTCTCTCTCTTTCTCTGTCTCTGTCTCTGTCTCTGTCTCTCTCCCTCTCTGTCTCTGTCTGTCTGTCTCTCTCCGTCTCTCTCTCTGTCTCTCTGTCTCTCTCTCTCTCTTCTTCACCCCCCCCCTCCAGCCAGGGCATTGATTTTATGGCATTAGCAATAAGTAGGGAAGATATACTGCTGCCTAAAAGCCCCGAGGAGGACAGCTCTGGCCTGAGCGCAGCTGCAGATTTCTCAAATGTGTTGGATGTAATGTCTGGGAAGCAGTTTTTGCTTGAAAACTTGTGGGGCAGGGGGCAGGTGGACAGTTCATTAAAGCTCCTGACCTGCAGGGTTGTCTTTGTGAAAAATGTAACTTTGTACTAAGCAGCTAAAAACACAAGACTCCACATCTGTGAACCAAGGTGCAGTTGGTCCAGGCATGTTTGTTTGTAGACTTGTCACTGGTTCTTTTCTGTTGTTTAGAAAGGCTGTAATCCTTCAATAAAGGGAGAAAAATCAGTGCTTAGAGTGGTGCTGTCATCTTGTAAGCTTTTTTCCTCTGTGTCAGTTAAGAAAGTTTAGTTTCTCTGTAGAAAGAAATGGTCTTTCTTTCACCATGCAGTGTTTGACGTGGGCTATGCCACCATGTCTTTGGTTTTCGGTGACATGGTCATCTCTGCACCATGCTTTGCAGCCATCAGGACTGCCCCCCCTCCCCCCACCCCTCACGATTTCCTCCTGTCTCAGCATATTCAACATCTCAAGCACAGAGCTATAGCCTTCAAGGTCATCGTCTGTGAAGAGCTAATTGATTCTTCTGTATCCTGGAGCCTGAGAGAGTGGAAGAGTGTCAGACATAGCCCTTGTGTCTGCTGTTAGTCACAAGCCCAAATGACTGCCTTAAATTTTTATTTTATAAATACTTGAATTATTCCCTTCATCAAGGACGCTGGTCAAATTGTACCATTCTCTATCTTTGGAAGAATAAAAGACAAAACATAGCATTCATCTTTAATTGCCTGCAGGTATAATATTTATGCTAGATTTTTTTTAAAATGAGTGTTTTCAGAAGGTAATGTGTTTTTCATGTTTTTACTATATTAAAACACTTCCAGATTTTAAGAAATTGAATGCAAAACTGGAATGAAGATATCCATGTTTGTAGTTTTTATTCTGATGTTTATCTATGGTTGCAATGGTTATGTTGCTTTATTAAGATCGTGTTTTTATAAGGTCACATAATACTTCAAACTGTTTTGTCACTGTGTTGCTGTAGAATAAACCCAAGTCGTCATAAGTGCTAGATATATGTCCTATTATATTCCCAGTCTAAGCCATTAATTTCTTGTCTTTATCTAACCTTTAAAACTTTTTCTGTCCTCCATTTATATGAAAAGAAATGGTTTTGTGGAAGCCAAAAGCTAGAAAAATAGATCTGATTAATTATATTTTTACTCAAGAAACCGTGGTACCATCTTGAAAGAAATTGCTTTTTGGATGTTGGGTTGTACTTAAAAACAGACTCTTGGAGACAAGAGTATATTGGTATTTTTATCTTAGCCCACATTTGTTTTGCTTTGTCTTAAATCTTCATTGGGTTGTGTGAAAAGCTATTGTTGCCACAGCCATAGTTTGAACCCCACCATCTGCACAAGATTAACACTATGAGTTGACTATCCCAAATCATCTCATATTTAATTTGAGTGGATCCTTCTCCCCTCTGTGGATGACAGGAAGGTATTTTGGAACATCAAACTTCTAGAAACTTCTCTCCACCTTACCGTCACATGTTTAAAAGGAAGACAATAAGAATTTCAAGAGGCTGACAAATGCATACAGTTTGAGTCAAATGATTGAAATGATGAATTTAATCCTTTTGCTCCAATTCACTAACCTATCTAAAACACCAGAAAACATAGTAGTACGTACCCCTGATTTTAAGTTAGCTTGTCCATGTGCATACATATGCATGAACACACACACACACACACACACACACACACACACACACACTTCCACAATCACCATTATTTCCTTCTATCATCTTCTCCCAGTGTTTGAGACTTAAATCCCGAGTCTAATTCCAGTGTTTTAAGTGACATTCAACTAACAATTAAGCAGGTACTTCAAGCAGGACCACTTGCCAAGCATGTAGGAGTCACATGACTAAAATTGAATTTTCCTCTCATCTTCCTGTTCTGCGTTTATTGAATTTTCTATCAGGGTATTCTTTTCTCTCAGTGCTGGACCATCCATACAGTGTTCTGCTTACTGTTGGAAACGGCTGGAGGTGCTCAGGGTGAGCTGCTTTCTAAGATGTAGCACATGGCTGTGTGGCTCACCTCTTTCTTGCACATCCCACTTCTGAGATGTCCTCCATATTCCTTTGTGACATACAGATCAATCTTTTTCCATCCCACCTTCCCAATTGCGTTTTAAATCTGTCTTACTGCCATGTCGATGCCATTTGACTTTATATGTCAATATCCTACTGAATTTTAAACATCTCCACTTGTCTTTTCCCGTGCCACTTTATTTCTTTTCAATATTGAGTGGCATTTACAAGTATTACAAGCACGCATGCAAAACCATTGTCTCCAGCTAGTAAAAGACAAGAGTTTCTTCTTAGAGCAATCACCTTAAGCTTCTTTCCTTCTCCTTCTTTTCCTTTCCTATGATAGATGCCAAGTTTTTCCACTGACTCAGCAATATGCTTGTGCCTGTCACCATGAATGAATTCTTAGAAAATGATAAAATGTTTATGTCCCAAACCAGGCATCTGAGTTCTCTCTCCGTTCCCTTTCCTTTTAATAGCATTTCAATGTAGTATCCCTTCAAAACAGGAAGGGAGAGATTTTACAGATTCAAAACCAATGTATTAAAAGAGTTATGGCTGTCTGGAAGTTGGTGAAAATGAAAGCTGTAACTCTTGTTCACTGAGCCCACTGAACTTTCAAGTAGTTCTCGATGTCTACCACATCTAGTTTTATGCTCAAGTTTTCCATTTTGCATTCTCACTGTGTTCAGTGTTGCAGGTTTTCTCCCATGATTTCCTCTTTTTCTCCCTTCAGCAAGGGCATGTTAAGGGTACAATGTGTGCATGCCACTGCACTTGTCTACACTGCCTGAGTGGCACTGAAATGCTCACTGGATGGCAG